AATTCCATCTGTCCTAGTTATGATATCTTAAAATTTCGAGCAAAGATTTTCCCAATTTTTCACTAACTAACTTAATGTTCTAGGTATGACAGTAACCTCATTTGTCCTAGCTATAATGACTCAAAAAATTTGCAATAATTCTCAGAGCACTATGTGTTTATATATTCTATGTACAACAGCAGTTTCATCTGTCCTAACTATAATGTCTAAAACTTCCTAGCAATAAATCCTAGTTGCAACAACTGTTGTCCTAAGTATTACAACAGTCCAATTTGTCTTAGGTATAGTGAGTTAGTAGCTTTGAGCTACTTACTAGGATCACCGCGTGTATGCATTACGCTTCACATTATGGTTCCCCAAGCAAAGTACTGTAATCATTGATCGTAAAGGCATGAAACTGGTTGGCTCTTCTTGACCATATTAATTTGTAAGTCGATTGGGATGCTCTCGTCAATCTACCAAACAGCTCAGTTGTTATATTGTAGGCCATTCCTCCTTCGACTCATGATAAAGAACTCCATAGTCAATTTGCTAGGGAAGAGATCATTTTATACAGTGTCTCAACTACTTACTGACTCAAATTCTTTCCCTCTGATGCTTAGCCATTCTAGTGCACTGGAGCTTCCTCAGCGTAGTATACAGCTTTAAGTATCTTCCATGTGCAACATCATTATTCTTACCAGTTTAAAAGTGCAGCTCATAGTGTGAGACACTGAAGCACACGATAAGAACAGTTATACCAGAACGTATTTGCTTCTTCACTGTAGTCAGACCTCCAGCCTCCAAACTCGCTGTTTCATTATATGTTTTTGTTTTACGTATTACTACCTTGCTCATCAGCTAGCATGCAGATTAACCAAAACATTAGTTACCCTTTATGCTCCTGTACACTATCTTCTCTGGAATGGGCCATACGTCACGTCCATTGGAGTCGACCTTACTAGTCCTAGCACCAGTAATTTCATCGAACAGCTAATAGACTGTTCCTATATTTTTCTATACACCACGCATCAATCCAAGCTTGTCTGTAGAAACCGTCCCTTGAGACTATTAGATTGAGGGTGATACTATAAAGTCTTCATCACATTCAGAACAACTCCGCAAACAACTATTTAAATCTATTCTTTGGTCCACTTGGAGTTGTTCATGTAACTTGAGTCGTGCTGTACTCTGTTCAGCTAAAAATGTCAGTGACGTATTGATGAAGTAATCAATTTAAGGTTCAACCAGCGCATACCAATTACCTTTACCAGTGAAAGGACAATCTTTATCCGGGGCTTTTTGTAAACTATAACTCATTTACACAGTTTTCTCTGACATTTCCAGCTTTTCCATTTGAACAGCACACACATTATTATTTTTAGATCACCTCTCAACAACATGATAGAAATGTATGTTGGCTCTTGTGCAATACACACATGCTGTATAACAAGAAGATAAAGTTCATCGCTCTACACATCATGTCATTCTTCTAGTGATTCATCTCACTGACCACCAACTCATTCCTCTACTGATTCATCTCACTGACCACCATCTCATTCCTCTAGTGATTCATCGTCACTGACCACCATGTCATTCCTCTAGTGATTCACAATCACTGACCACTATGTTCTTCCTCTAGTGATTCATCTCACTGACCACCATGTCATTCCTCTAGTGATTCATTTCACTGACCACCATCTCTTTCCTCTAGTGACTTATCTAACTGACCACCATGTCATTACTCTAGTGATTCATAATCACTGTCCACCATGTCCTTCCTCTAGTGATTCATAATCACTGACCACTATGTTCTTCCTCTAGTGATTCATCTAACTGACCACCATGTCCTTCCTCTAGTGACTTATTTAACTGACCACCATGTCATTACTCTAGTGATTCATAATCACTGTCCACCATGTCCTTCTTCTAGTGATTCATAATCACTGACCACCAAGTCATTCCTCTAGTGATTCATCTCACTGACTACCATGTCATTACTCTAGTGATTCATAATCTCTGACCACCATGCCCTTCCTCTACTGATTCATCGTCACTGACTACCATTTCCTCCCATTAGTGATTCATAATCACTGACCCCCATGTCCTTCCTCTAGTGATTCATCATCACTGACACTGGAATGGAATTTATAGTTGTATTATGTACAGTTTCTGAAACATTCAACAACAAAAAATAATTTCTCGATGTCAGGAAAGAAAATCAGTTTAAATTACCGTGTTTTATAATGTTTGATAAATACCAAAAGTAATTTTTCTCTTTCAGAAGTCACCAGCAGACAAATGACGTATGCTAATACATGATTCACATCTTCTTACACTATTGAATAGCTAATTGAAATTTATAATCACTGGCATCAATATCCAGGACGAGCTGACAGTCTTGCTGAGGACTATCTACCAACTCAATATCAAACAAAACAGCATTTAGTGTTTGAAATTCTTGTTCACAGCCTTTAGTCCATCTAAAATGCGAACAGACTTGAGTCAGGGCAGGGAACAATTTGCACATCACAGAGAAATGGACCACAAAATATGTATAATATGAAGCAAACATTTAGAAGCCAGCAGAATTTCTTCTTAGGTACATGCTGAAGCCGGTCCTTATTAAACACTGCAATCTTCATGAGATCAGAGAACACTCTGTCCTTGCCTATTGAATTATTATAAAAATCTACACTTGTTTGTATAAGTGCATAGTTTTTTGTCTTCAGTTTCAACATACTTTCTTTAATAACTGAAACACTATTCTTACGCCCTCAGCAGGAAACGGTTATTTACACAGATCCAGGAGACATTTCTTGCATCACATAAAGCAGTATAGTATAACAAGACATCTCGAGTGTTTATTTTTACTTATAAATCACAGAATTCTAACTGCTTCAGTGTTTCAAGAGGCAGAGCTCAAATCAGCAAACATCGACAAGATCTAAATGTACATGTATTGTATTTACAATAAATGCTGGATACGAAATGTAATTTATCAATAACACTAAACAAGAGGTTCCGACTCAACCATAATAGTGAAGCGACCGATCACAAACATCACAAATGTGACAGAAGAACTATTACACATATGTACAAATGTTTCTCTTTATATTTTTAATTCACCACTCTAATATTGCTACCGACAACAGTAAACACATTCTGGACAAGACCTTCTTCGCCTTATAGAACTATATTACAATTAGAAACTGCATTCGAACTTTCCACAACAACTGCAACACGAAGGAAACAAATCAATGTTGAACTCCGAGATTCCGAATTTTTCTTCACACATAATCAACATATTAGACATCAGAGTTGGACAAAGTCCTTTACTACAAAAACTGTCTGAATAAATCGGTATATTTATATTCTACATTAAACAAAATATACATTTAATCAGTGTTCTATTCTTCACAATGAAAAGACTAGAACTCTGCCATTGTAATGGGAAGACTAGAGCTCTGTAAAAACTGGAAAACTAGAACTCTGCCATTGTAAACACTGGCAGAAAAACAAAATCATTCAAATATCTTATCAAACGCAAGACATAGAAAAATGTATGTACTTTAACAAGGAAATACACGAGTGGAACAAAGTTATTACATAAGTTAGCCCCCCTCCAGTGGCACAGCGGAATGTCTGCGGACTTACAACGCTAGAATCCGGATTTCGATACCCGTGGTGACCAGAGCACAGACAACCCATTGTGTAGCTTTGTGCTTAATTACAAACAAACATAAGTTAGGAAAAGATTTATGAAATTGTTGTGAAATTTCTAGAAGAATGCTATGGGTAAAAGATTTTTTACGCTTACTGAACATTTTATCGGCTTACAACGTTAAGTATGCTACATCATATTATTTAAAATTCAGAAATATTAAGCGATAAGAACTCTGTCTCTATGAACAATGGGAAGACTAAAACTCTGTCTCTGTAAACATTGGTAAGACTAGAACTTTGTCTCTGTAAACACAAAGATGATAGTAATTTGTAGTGTCCTATCTACAGAAGGTGTTTTCTGATTCATCGTTTTTCAAAAATATGCGACATCGAGCAAAGCAAACTTGTAATGTATTAACTCTGTACATTTTCAGAACTGCACACGTAACTCACGCGTTATGAGTGATGAAGGAGGAGCTGTTTGTAAAGTTTGAATAATTTTGACCTACATAGCGCAATCTTCAGTAATACTTTGTTTCCTTGATCTAATTATGAGCTATTTAAGTGGTCTGTGAAGCTATTTATATTATTGGAATTTCCTATAAAAAGTGAGTATTTTAACTGCTCTCACATGAATCACGTGACCAAATAAAACTGGGTCGTTTTGAGAGGAAAATTGGACTACAAAGAGCAGAAGTGTATTTGAAGAGGTCTGTTTATCTAAATTTCAGCCACTAATTAAAAAAGTCAATTTTTTTTTTTCAGACAACACCACATCTTTATTATATTCATGTTCTCATTTGGGCAGCGTCTTTCTTTCCTTGTTTATCGCGACATCTTTTGATTCTTAAAATAACTAAATTGATTTGTTTTTGTCCATTTATTTACAAAAGGTTTTATTTTCTCTTTCTAGAAAACCTCTAAGAAACTAACGTAATATGTTTAATACTACCAACGGTTCAGACGTTCCCCTTTTTGTTTTGTCAACAGAGCTTATGAAATACAGCCAACACAGAGCTACAAGACATCAGTTCAAAAAGCGAACGTAATATAAAGTTTAATTGTGTGTTATATTGAAAATGTCTGTAATAGTAATCAAATCTCTTCAAGCAAAGAAACCGATACAGTTAATAAATAAACCGTGTAGAATTATCGTGTAGTACGAGTTAGTAAGGCTTTTTTAAGGAAATAAAATAAACAGGCCTCCTCAGAATGCATGCACTACCTGGTGGTAATTGATGGATTAAGATAATGAGATATGAAAATGATATTTTGATAAATGTATCGAAACTAAAAGTATGTATTTTGAATACGAAAACCAAATACCGAGAGGAAAATAAATATAGCCTTACCTGCCGATCTAATACATGTAAAAGAACGAGGAAGAACACCAAAAATATGTTGATATGGAGGTAGAGGGGTATCTCAGTCAATCTGCAAAAACAACAAGAAACAAAGTGAAGTTTGTCTCTTAAGAAAACACCTTCACTGATACTAATAAACTTGTTTACGCAGAGTGTTCACTCTTGAAGTATGGTGTCATAAAAGGCGGCTGACTTGATTCTTCAGGAAGCTCCTGTATGGAAGATTTCATCTACTCCTCTACAGAAAGAACAATTCGCTTTTTTTTTCTCAAATTATATAAAATATTGAGATAGTCATTATACAAGTTGATACTTTAAGGCTCTGTTTTTCTCTAGTATAACGACCTTAGGTGTTTAAGAGTAGTTTCTCGCTCGGTCAAATGAAAATATTTGTCATAAGGCCTAGAATGTGACAGAAATAAAGGATAAAAGACTCCATTAAATACCAGGAGAAACACAGAAACTTGTTGAAATCGTATCTGCCACCACCTACACTTCTGTTAATAAAGTTCAAATATCAAAATTAGCCGACTTTATAAAAGATTTATACTAATGCTTAACCAAAGATATTTTTGTTGTGTTTTTTTTATTACTCCATGACCAACTTTGAAAAATTCAATTCTTAACTCCGGATTTTAATAGATATTTTTTTTCCATTTTTTGCATGACAATCAAGTAACAAATCATAACAATCATAACAAACAATTACTGTAGATACCTTTTGTGCCCATTCATCTTAATTTGTTCATGGCAGCTTACAATCAGAGGTGTGCAAAAATGGCATTTCACACCCATAAATTTCAGCCGCAATAGACAAATTATGAGACATGTAGACAAAAAGTATCTACAATTAGCTTGATTTTTATAATAATGTTTAGGCCTATTCTAACCCGAAATGTTTTTTTGCTTACCCATAATCTTGTTCCAAAGGTTTACCAAATAAATCAGATCTAACGAACACAAAGACGACTGCAAACGCTGTTAACCCACTAACCATGGACACGAGTTTCAATAGGAAGTTGACCCTTAGAAAAACAGATACCACGGTCAAAGAAAGCACTGCCGTAAACTGATGGTACTGAAACAGAATACAACATATTAGTGTAGTAAAGTAAGAGAATACACGTAATAATTGATACCTGTTACATGAACTTTATAATTATCTTAAGAATAATATGCCTGATATTTGTTATGTATAGTTCAATCATTTTAATAATAATACACCCGACACTTTTTATATGAAGTTCTATTTAACAGTAATATAAATATATTGTTATTTTACTTGCTACACGTACTTTATCATGTATTGAGCTACACTTGTACGACAAGAAAGACAGAAAGTTTAACACACCTGATATAGACTACATAGTGTAGCATGACTTTGATACTCAGTAGAAACATTGCCAACTAAATTCACGTGTACTTCATACTTTAATGGGCACAGTACCTAGAAAAGACAAGATATCAAACGTTATAATACATTTAACTACTGAAACAGAGTTAGCGTGTCTTGTGATACACGTTTTACCTTTGTATAACACGTATAGAATAAATCTAATGTATTCAGGTATTTTGTTTTATATTTACATTTATATTCATATTCGTCCAGAAATTAATGCCGCTTTTTAGATGAAAAAATCCGAATAAATTATACATCAAAACAAAACATTTATTAAATGAAACAGTCTCCATTCTTATCGATGATGCTTTTCCATCTTACAGTCAGGTTGCTAATGCCCTGATTACCACATGTGGACGTACATTATCGTGGAGAAGAAGAACACCTTTCCGATTGAAGGGCGTTTCTAATGAAGGGCTTGATTTAAACGTTCCAGTTGCTGACTATAGATCTCTGCATTGACAGTTCGCTGTGGATTGAGAAGTTCGAAATGAATTACTCCTTTGATGTCCAACCAAATGCAAAGTATCACTTTCTGAGGATGGAGTCCAGGTTTTAGGGTCGGAAGTGGTTTTGTCTGGGACTGAGCCATTGTATTTGGCTTTTAATTTTCGCATGGAGAATCCATTTTTCATCAACGGTGACAATTCTGTCCAAAAATGGTTCACGCGCATTACGCGCCAGAAGAGACGAAGAAACGTTCACACGTTGGAAACGGTGATCATCGGAGAGTTCGTGAGGCACCCAAACACCTTCTTTATGGAATTTTCCCATCTTCCTTAGC